TATATTATATATTATATATAACAGCTTAGATCTATCCATAGGGGGAAACTAAAACAATGAAGAGGGTTAAAAACAGTACCTTAAGGTGAAAGTAATGTCGCTAAGGGAAACTTAAACGACGTTAAGGCAAAATTATAGACAAAAGAGTTTAAGATGTAAAAACAATAAGACGATGTATAAATCATTGACCATTGACTGGCGAAGCACAAATTTATTAAATTATAATAAAATAAAACGGATATTTTGATAGCTCCTGCTTACAATGCATATCTAGCATATGCATATATGTATCAAAAATGGTATTAACCAATCAGAACCGGGTAAATATAGGCCTATATATCAACTGATTGGATCACAAATACTTATATTTATGTTTGATAGCTTAGTTTCAAAACACATTTCTGTTATATTCATGTATAGAGACTGAATAAAATGAATTGAATTTAATTGAAAATATTAACTTTGTTAGATTCCTCTATTACATTTCAATCATTATTATTCATTGCATTAATCTGCTTGTTGTTTCTTGTTTCTGGGTGTTCTTCTAATGCCTTAAAATAATATATATATATATATATATATATATATATATATATATTACATATTATATATAATTTCATTCCAACATTTATTCTAAAAAAAATTTCAAATATCATGTCTTGTAGTTTAATAAGTTAATTAACAAAATTAGAATATTAGTAATAGGCCTAGTAACTTTCTTTAAAGTAAAATTTGAATGACACGAAAATGTACGGTATTCACTGCTGGGACAAATAAAAACAAAACTGAATCTGAATCTGAGTTTTTCATAACAAAATGAATTTGTTATTCAAAGTTGCAAGCCTAAAATATGGAACACAACTCGTCTGTGAATATTACAGCTCTACCAGCCTACTTCTATCTATTTTTGGGCATCTAGAGAAAAAATATATACTGATACATACTACAATACTGTATATGACTTTATTATTAATGTTCTCATCACATTGTCTTCGTTATGTTCACCTAGAGAGGTGCAATATTTAAAAAATGTGCTTACCTCAACCCCAATCATGGTGGGGCTGAGGTGAATTTCCACTAACTTTAATTTTGTGTCTGTCAATGTCAAGATGGGGAGGATTAGCTAGAGGTTCAACGGGTTTGCCAGCTGCAATATCCGGACATCCAGAGGTGCCATACTTCCAAAATTTATATGTATATACTCTATCCCCAATTTGCTCACCTCAGCCCCATCCAGGGGTTGGGAGGAGCGGCTCTGCAATTTTAAAGCATATATATCCGGGAAACCAGTTGCAGCCAAAACAGTTGTTAACCAACCAATGTGGGGCGGGCGGGTTGTATGCACTCAGACCCCTCTAACTTTGAATCCTGTATTCGTGGACATGAGTAGCGGGTTTGCAATTTAACAACCAAACATTTAAATTTAACAAGCGTCACTTTGATGAAATCACACCTTTAATCAGCATATCTCTAACACTTGTCGTTCTATCTATTACTATCAAAGAAAAGTCAACCATATTAGAAAATACTTATTAGTATATGAATCCTGTAAGACCATCATATATGCCGTACTCTCTGCCAAACTTGACTATGGTAATGCACTTTTATTTGGACTGCCTGTCACGCAATTAGCTCTTCTTCAACATGCTCAAAACACATCACTCCAGTACTTCGAAGTCTGCACTGGTTACCTATTCAATCCCGCATTAAATTCAAATTGCTTCTCATAACCTACAAGGCCATCAATGAACTTACAACTCATTATATTACCGATCTTCTTAGACATCACACTCCCTCCCGTACACTGCGTTCATCTCACAAATTCCTCCTTCATATCTCTAAATGGAAGCAGGGAGGCAGGGACTCCCGTCGGGAAGAGCTCCGCTCCCCCGTCGGGGAGAAAAAACACAATTCGTCGGGGAGAAAAAAAATTATATGTATTTCTACATATTAGTAGACTTCTAAATCGATTTAATAAGCTTTTGAAACCCGTAAATTGTCCACATTTTCGGATTCGCCCCCTGGACCACTTTCGAAATATTTTAATCAAAGCTTGACCACGCCCACTTTGCTTTCGTCGGAAAATCTTACCCCTCGTCGGGGGCATCGGGTCCCCCACCCCGTCGGAAAATCTTGGCGCGACCCCTGCCCGTGAACCCAAGGGAGTTTTTATTCCGGGCCATCGACCGAGGCTTCGTCGACCCCTTTGCTAGGACCCCATGTCGGACCCCTTGTCGGCAAATTTCTGTCGCCACCGCTGGTTCCGACACTGTAATTTTGTGGGACCTTAGCAACAATATCCAAGGGGCGGTGCTCAGCGGAAAGGTTCCTGGCAGTCAGGTAGCACATCATTTCCTGACACAAAATGTCTTTTCGAAACAACATTGAAACACAGGTTTCTGCCGATAGAATTCAGCACTAGCCACGAAGCACAATCCTGGTGGTGTATAGTTAAACATCTTGAGATTGTGGGTTCGATTCCTGCTTGATTCAGGTAGTTTAATTGTCAGTAGACCTAAGTAGCTAATTGTGCAAGTTTGATTGGTTCAATTCAGCTAAACAGATGGTGTAGTTGGTTCTACTAAGTTTGATCAAATTGTAAAGCTAAACAATACAAATTAACTCAAGTCACAAGACGACCCAAATTCGGTAACGATTTAGAATTTAATCATTATTTCTGAAAGAGGCGTAGGGTGGTCTGTGTGTGTGTGGGGGGGGGGGGTGCAAAAACTGTAAAAGCAGAACATACAAAGGATCAGTGGATACCAGGCGCTGTTAGTCTGGGGCCACAAAGGGTGGAGGTGTAGAGCAAAGTCAAGCCGCTCCGGTGTATGTAGCGTTTTGTGATGTATTTTAATGTCTTTTTTGGCACAATTAAGTTCTTAATTTTGTATCGTGATTTGACAAAATAAGCGTAACAGGCCTAAATTGTAATTAAGATAATACTTTTGTTCGACTGTAACTTAATTTCTTGTTACACATTGTTTCATTCATATACATAAACATGATAGGCCAATTGTCTTAATTTTTTTTGTATTTACACAGTTAATTTTTAACTCCTTTTCGGGAGGTGTAAGCT